ATTGCATTTCCTCCTTTACATTGCAGCATGTTGTTGAAGATGAGCTGAAATAGGGTGAGGGCATAAATGCCCAGATAAAGCAGGGAAAATCCTCCAGATACCTGAAAGTAGGCCACGATTGGTTGCACAGTAGACCTGCAGTGCAGCACAAAGCTTAAATTTTGAACCCTGTCGAGCAGTAAATTACTCTGAGTGTGTGTGTGTGTGTGTGTGTGTGTGTGTGTGTGTGTGTGTGTGTGTGTGTGTGTGTGTGTGTGTGTGTGTGGATTAGGTGTGGTGTTGATATAATCTTATTGTCAGTTAACCTGAGACACAGCGTGGTGTGTTACTCCGCTGATTGACACATGAAAGCAGCGCTGAAGATACACCGCATGCTACTTTGCATGGAAGTTTTGGGAAAAACAGATTCTTGAGAAAAACAGCATGTAACCTCGATACTCCACCTGAGCTTTACCCTCTGTTCCCTCTCTCAAAAGTGATGTTCAGTTGCTAAGCAATCATACTAATTGTATCTACTGGCATCATCCGCGAGCCTTATGAAACTTTCAAAACATGAGAAGGTGCAGGTTTACAATGCCACTGTCAGTGTTTGTGTGTGTGCCTCTTCCGTTCTCACACTGTTTCAGAAACCTTTAAGTAGTAAGCTAGAAAAAAACAAAATTTAGCATTTTGTTTCCCCCTCATTCCCTGTGACACACCTTAAGGCTCTTTAAGTTTGTGATGTCTGAATGAATAATTAATGAGGAAGCATGGCAGCCCAGGAGTAAACTACCAGCTTCTTCGTGCACACTGTATCTGCTCTGCTGTCTTTCCAATATTAGAACAGGCCTGCCTCAGACGAAGACGAGACAAAAGAGAGTGACAAGACAAGTCTTACCACCAGGCGGAAGGGAGGCAGAATCAGTAGGGTGCAAGCACTGTTATGTCTGTGTGTGCGGATGTGTGTGTTCAAGAAAAAAGACAGACAAGAGATACCAGAGAGACAGAAACAGACCTCCTGAAACAGTAGGACGGGGGGAACTATAATTATGCAAGTAATTATACATGAAATCACAGACTTGGAGTGAGAGAGGAAGAGATAGATAGAGAGAGAGAGAGAGAGAGAGAGAGAGGAAGAGCACTGGAGGGAAAGAGCCTTGCAGTGAGTCTCATCCATGTAATTACAGTAGAAGAACTAAATGAAACAGAGGGAGAACACACACATACCATATAGGACCATCCACCTGTTTTCTCTGCACCACACACAATGTTCATCCTGACCACCGTACTGTATGTTTCACCATACCCACATGGACGTTTTGTCTTCATCTTCTGTTGCTCTGTGTGTTTTTTTTTGGTTGCCATGGTATGCTCTATTGAATATCAGTGTGACTTATACCCTGTGTCATCGTGTTCATTGATTAAAGAGCCCAAACCCTCCCTGAGCTCACGACCCATATAATGAGCACAATGTATCTGGGGGGTGGAGGCGTTAAAGGAGAGAGCTGCCCTCACATTTTACAATAATGACAACTTCATGACTGCATGTGGCTGACAGAAACAGACAGCTTTGTCTACACTGAGGGTGGCTCGCTGTTGTTGAGTTGCTATGTGAAGAAAAATCTTCCAAAGTGAGGCATTTTGGCTGGGTCTCATTTTTTTATCATTTTATTTTTTACAAGGGGTTGGTTAGGTTTATAAGGATGGGAGTTTAGGTGGAAGTAGGAGATTCAGATTCAAAGCTCAAGTTCAAAATTAAGTATTGTTGTAAATCATTAATTCAGTATGTTGTATTTGTCTTTTTTGGAGTCTTGAGACAGACCTTTTGGTATATAACAAAAAACAAAAGCTGTTGTCGAATTAAACATGAAATGAGATGTAAACATTTTAAAAATAAAACAAAGCATGTTTGAATGAAAATCAAGTACTTTAAGTGTGAGCACAGTTGACAAATGTTTAGAAAGTAGGTTTGTTTCAGCCATTTTCAACTTGGACACTATTTCCCGTCATTTTTTTTTTAGTGTGTCATCCATTTCCCGCCACTTAACATGGTCCAGGTCATGGGGGAAGCAGACTAAGCAGTTTAGCCCAGATGTCCTTCTCCCTAGCCACGTCCTCCAACTCTTGGTGGTGTATCCCAAGGCATTCTGAGGCTGCATGGGACATATAATCCCCTCTGTGTGTCCTGGGTATTCTCCAGAAAAACCTTCACAGTGAGACATCCAGACAATCACAGTTGGCTTGTTTAAAAGAGCAGAGGTTCTCCAGAAATCTGAACTCCTCTTGATGTCAGACCCTCAAGGACAGCTGCTCATTGGCCACTTGTATCCATCAGTTCCATCTTCATTGTGACAGTCCAGAACAATGCCATCCCTACTGATCCCACATAAACTTCTTCTTGTTCTAATTGTCCATCTTACATACCCTCACCTATGAATGAAACCCTGAGACACTAGAACTACTTCACTTGCAGAAACTGGCTCCTTTTTTCTCCATTTTTTGGCAGATATAAAAAAAAAACGCTATATCCTTTAGACCATATCCATTAGATTAGTCCAGGGTGTAACATTTAGGAGGATCTATGTTTTCATTAGTGTATAATCACTTGAAAATAAAAAATGTTGCTTTTTTATTACCATACAATGAGAGGTTTTTCTCTACAGAGGGAGTTGACCTCTTCCATTGAGGCCCCAGTGTTGAATTGTAATGTATCTACAGTAGCCCAGAATGGACAAGAGTTTCGCAGCCACCGTAGTTTCTCCTACACACTTGGAAGACGAGTGGTATTCAGTGAGTTGCATTCTGCACACTGGACCTTTAAATGATAGGTTAAAAACTTAAAGACGGTCTTAAAACAATACTGAAAAGGTTACTGGTTACTGTAATTGTTCCTCCTGTTCATACTGGCCATATACAGATCCCTTAAGAAAGCAGTTGTGGGATACAAAGCCTATCGTCCTCTTTGTAAACAAAATTGTATTCCAAAGTTTAGCCAAAGATACTGTGAGGCTTCAGCAGTCTGAGTTAGTTAGATCAAGTTAGGATCTTCCAAAGTGTCAGTCTTTTTAGAACAAACTTCTCTCTTTTGTTAACATCCCTCCACTGCAGTTCAGCAAGAAAACACTATCTACAAAAACACAAAGAAGGCAGTAACGTTGGAAGATCCCTACTTTATTTGTCCAACTCATATATCTTCAGCTGAACTTCAGAATGCATATTTGAGGACTCACTTGTTACAGATCATCATCCAATGAAGCCAACAGATCTACAGTGTCAGCAAATAGCAGAGGTGCAACCCTGAGGTAACCAAACTGGACCCTGCATGAGAAATAGGACATATTGGTGACAAGTCACAACCGTGTACAACACCTACTGGTACATATCTGAATATTCTAATAGTCTCACCAGTTGATTTGAGATAGAGCTTCTTAATCCTCTCTGCTCTCCAGTACAGTCTTAACAGGCTGTTCTCAAATCCATGTCTTATCCAGTATATTGATTGCTCTCACTGTAATGAACATGTCTGCTGAATTAGAAATTCTGTTCAGAATTGATTAATATGATTTTAAAAGGTGGAGAAGACTGTTATAGAGTTAGGATTGGTTTAGAAATTAAAGTAAGTTTAACCCGTTGTAGTTTTAGGTTGCTATGTAGCGGTGTGAATATGGGTTTAGGGAATAAATATAGCCAGCAGAAGGTTCTGATAAGTAACGTGGGTGCACACACGCATGCATATGTGTGTAGGTGTTTAATGTGTTGGCACGCAAAATGAGCCACATATTGTGTATGTAAATCCATCTGCACAGTGTGAAAGGAATAACAGTCTGGCAAATCACGAAAACATATGCAAAACACTGACAAACTGCACTGATAAAGACAAAGAGTGGTCAGGACTGACACTTAAAAGGATGGTTGGCACACTGTATGAAACTACAGTCTAAAAATTACCACATAATTAACTCCTCAATGACAGCACAGTCTCAGCAAAAGGATATACTGAGCTTAAATAAAAAAAAAGAAAAAAGATGCTGACTAAATGTAATGAACAAAATCTAAAGACAAATATTTAATTCCCCTTACTCTTAAATTTGGAGAAAGCCAAAGAAAGCCTTCAGCCCAGAATCAGCTGCCAGCTAAGAATCTATAACAGTAACTACAGACAGTCATGATTGATCTGCATGGTCATGTAACAGACAAGGACTATGAGGCCATTTCAAATGGCAGATGCAGCCTTAGGTGCAAACACTGCTCCATCAAGATGTCTCCACACTGTATCCACAGACACAGCTAAACAAGGAGCAGCGTGAGATGTTGTAAATATACTGTGACCCAATCTGTAATCATATATCATAGCTGAGTCTTTTTGAGTTGTTTGCATTCCAATGCGGATTGAATTGAAGTCAGCAAAGGCTCAGAGCATGATGTGTAAGACATGCTGCACACCAGTGATTCCCAACCAGCATATTTCTGCAGTTGCCAGGGGGTACGTGGAAAGATTGAGGAGTAATCACTGCTACTAGATGTCGCACTAGAGCACAGAAACTCAGACCAATACATATGGTTGCTATGGCCCACCAGACTCCACTGATAAAACCAGTCATTTTACCTCACTGATAACTGAAAACACACTTCAAACTGGACAGAAACAAAACAAAACTCACCAAAACATTCTTTGTCAGTCTTTCCACAATATTTCCAACAGTCACCAACTCTGGTTTGGATGAAATAAATCCTTAATTCACAGAGGTAGATGAGAAAATATTTGCAAAATATAATCCTTGCGCCCATCAAAATACGTAGACTTAGAGTGCTTGTTTTTGCCACTGACATGCTCAGATTGTTATTCTGAAGTGTCTGACAACATTATGGAAAATATCCCTACAGAGATAGACTTTTTGTTTAACCAGAAACAGGCGTAATATTGCTATCACTCACCACCAGGCTCCACAAAAGTGGTAATTTTACCTCGCACATCAATATTGTCATTCATTCAAAGTGGATAAAAACAAAATAAAACTCACCAAGTCATTCTTTGTTAGTCTTTCCTCTGTTACAACTATCACCAACTTTGGTCTGGTCAAAATAAAACCTTAATTAACAGAGAAAGATAAGAAAAACCATTTAAATCTAGTGAATCCTCACTCACATTACATTAGTGGTATACTCACTGACATGCATTTGCTCCTGGACCGGAGAGGTAAACAGCACTTTAATTTAATAAATGTCCTAAACATTGTATATATGACTTTCAAAGTAATGGATATGGTGGAAAGTAATGAATAAAAAAGGCTGAAATAATTAGCTAAAAGATGGCCCAATGGTTGAAATGTCCAGCTCCTGCCATAGAAGTGATAGACGTATATTCACATGTGACCAGTATCACCAGGGGACCTCATGTGATTTAGAAATGACCCTCCACGCCTGTGTTTCATGTGGCACACTTGCACAGGATACGCACAAATGCTACTGGAATTTAGTGACATCTTCCCCCTGATAGAGCTCTACATAATGCTGGTTGAAAGATGTTTCTTACCGCATGCTGCCGTATGTGTCATCCATCTCATCATTCGACATTTTGGTCGTCTGATGGCAGAAGACCTGAGGCAGAAAAAAAGCATGAAGGAAAGACTACTACTAGAGGCCCACAGGTGATACTTGAAAATACTACTGAAAAAACTAACCGGTAACGATATAATGAATAATATTAAAGGTCCAGTGTGTAAAAGGATATATTGGCAGAAATGGAATATAATATTCATAGTTATTAGGGTGTAATCGCCTGAATACAAGAGTTGTTGTGTTTTCGTTACCTTAGAATGAGTTTTTAATCTACAGTGGGTCGTCTTCCATGGAGTCCGCCATGTTGAACCGCCATGTTTCTACAGTAGCCCAGAATGGATAAACCAAATACTGGCTGTAGATAAACCCTTTAGACACGTTCTCATTCCCAGATTGTCAAGCGGTTCTACACACCGGTCCTTTAAATAACATGCAGTTTAAAATCCATCCACATGAACACATTTGTGGTGTTGACTGAGGCGTACGTCAAACAAATAAGGTTGGTAACCACTGCTGTACACCGACTGCACTAAAAAAAGTAAGAAATAGTTTATATAGTTCAATAGTTCAACCTAGAAGGCCTGATTGCCTGTTGAAGGCCAGACAGTGCACACTGCAGGAGACAAAATATTTTTAATCTATTCTTTCCTAGAAAATTATAGAGAGCCTTGGACATTTTTGTTATGGGAAGAAAAATTCACGAACAGCAGCATTTTCTCAACATCACTGAACTTTTATCAGACGATTTTCCCTTCCCTCGTCCCTCTTAACTCAACATTCTCCTGCATGAGTGAAAGCTCCAAGCTCCCCCACCACACGCAGTCCAAGAAACCGCATGAAAAGCTTCACAGGGAGGACTGGAGCCGTTCTGAAGGCAGCAAAAGGTGGTCGTCCTACTTATTAGCTGCTTGATATTCACATATTGTTAGGGTGCTTCTTCCCCCCCCGAATGTGTTCATTTTGTTCTCTCTGCATGTGTTTGATCATAATGTCCTCACCTCTGCTGGCTCCTCATCATTAACTCCCAGGAATCCTGCAACCGGCGAAGTTTGTCTCCTCAGTCTGTCACAGACCGCATCAGTCTAAGTTACAGTCTCACCCCACACACACACACACGCACACACACACACACATACACTCACAAAACTCCCCAGAGAAGATGAAACTGGCAGTACTACTTACTAATCTCTGCATTTTGGGAGTTTTTCCCCCTCATAGGCCCCTCTGCAACAGAAAACCCTCGCTGTTGAATTAGATTTGCTTACTCGTCCTCACCCATCTTCAAAGGACTCAGATAACTGAATATACCTTTTATTCATTTCATGCCACTGTAATTGTTTTTTTCCCCCACTGAGCAAATCCTGAGCAGGTCTTTGGGGGAATAGACTTGTGTATATGGCTGTGCTTTCATCTGCATTATGTTTAGTAATAGTATTATTATTATAGGGTATTGTTTTTGTTTTGTTTTTTCTTACTATTTGTTATATTTTTCTGCTGTTACCATGGTTTTTGTTTTTCGGCTTCCTCTCTGATTTTGGGGACAGCCTTGCGCTCTAGGTGAGAGAGACTCATCTGCTTGAAAAAATGCCTTGAGGTCTTTTCATTAAAACAATTACAGTAATTTCACTTTACCTGCTAAAGGAAACAATGGAAATTGCTTTATTTTAGGGAATCCAGGGTTGGAAAAATTGCAAGAATGAGTAAAAAGTTCGTAAAAAACAAGGCAAGAAGCTGAAAACATGACTGAGATTGTTATGTATCAAGCGGGATAGTGAATAATTCTTTGTTTCATGGTTTTCTTTGATGGAGACAATAAGGGCAGCTCAACATTAAAGGGATGCAGAGATTTCTCTCTCCACATATCCGCACTTCCTTCTTTATCATTAAGGATGGAAATTATTTTATCTTCCCAGTTTCGTGATGAGAGTGATGTTATTAGTTTCCCCGTGCTTGTATGACCACAGCCTTACAATTAGATCTTTCAGATAAAATCAAAGCCTACTGTCGCATCAGAGCTGTGGTGAGATATCAATTAATAGAGACGGATCTAAAATAGGACAGATTCAATTTCACACTTATGGCACTTTTTTTTCCCTCCTTCCCTTTTTGGCACACGAGAGTCACACAAAGCATTGTTGGTTGCATTTCTGTGCAAATGTTTTCTTAACATCTCTTATCTCAGCCAGCGCTGTCACATTTAAAGCCACCAGTGTTAAAGAAACTACTCTGATATGTACCTCAAAAAACAAAAATAAACAACTTTTAATAGCTCTTAGATGATAAGTCAGATCCAGCTCATTGTAGTCATGGAGTCCAGTCAAACTGTGACTTCTTTCGAGCAAACTTTTTATTTATTGTTACACACGAAAATACTGTGGTACATGCTATGGAAAGCTTTTCACTGTCTATATTCTTAGCCATTCCTGTCTTATCTTAAGAGGGATCTTAGAGTTGTTAATGAGGCAGTAAATGTTTGACTCGACAGTCAGCAGTGAAAGCCATTTCAACTAAAATGTCTATGCTTTATGAGCTCCTCTGTCATAAAGAGAGCATCGCCTTGGTGCTCTTTTTGCTGTTAAGATGCATATGGCAACTCTGTGTATTCACAGATCCAAATGGAAACAAGAGGTAGGTTTTAATTGATTTCAAGAAATTATGCAACATGATGTCTATAAGTGGACATGTCATGTGGAGATGAGTTTTCCACTTTGTGTGGGCAAAATGAGTGTATTTGACATCAAAGTGTCATTTAGGGTCATCTACAGGCAGGCTTATTAACAGAGGGGTTTACATCTAATATCTTTCTTTTGCCTTCTCTCTTTAAATGTAAGATATTTGCTTAATTAAATAAACATATTCCTGTTTTCTTTGCTGGTATAGGTTTAAACATTTCTTATTACTGAATAGCACTGTTGTATTAGACTGCATTAGTTTAAGCTCTACCTAATAAAGTGGATTTATATTTGCTATAATAATTTTATATTTTGTATTGCTATGCCTTCTGTGTTCTAGTTGTTAAAACACAATAAAATTGTGTTCAACCTAATTTTCAATCTATAGTGTCTCACTTGATTTAGACATTAACGTTACCTACTGCAGTTTTAAAATGAACCCAACATTTAAATTTCTGGTGGCGGGTGGGGGGGTCTTGTCTGCAGGAGAGGGCTGCTGTGACTAGACTCCCAGGCAGCCAGTCAGTTCAGTCTTACTCCGGTTCACATCATCAGGCTGCATCCCGGGGGAGGAGTCAGAAGTTTGACAGACAGGCATGCTGCGGAAACACTTGAGAGGACAAGCTCAAGGTAAGTAGTGGAGGAAGAGAGGAAGGAGGCTTAGGCATTAGGCACTTGCCCATAATCATGTTTAGTTCCTGCAGAGAGTGCACAAGGAGAGGATGCAACACGCGCACACACACACACACACACACACACACACACACACACACACACACACACACACACACACACACACACACACACACACACGTATGTATGTGTTAAAGACGGCTCACACAGCCACACAGCCAAAACCTAAAGCTCAAATCCATGCATGTGGACAATCAAGTACACAGATAGGTGCAGTAATGGCATGATAGGTTGTATAAAAAGTTGACTATGCACTGTATCACACATACACACATATATATATACACACACACGTAAAGGTAGACTGCGACAACAATATTGTCTATATTCTAGAGGAGAAAAGGGAGAGAGTAAAGATAGCATGAGGGAGAGGGAGAAAAGAGGTAGAGCGAGGGGACGAGTGCAGCAGTTTTGAAAGCGTTTGGCTCCGTTCAAATAGTTGCCATGGTTTCGAGATGTTTCCATGGAAATGCTAGCTGCCAATAAAATGAATTTGAGGAGGATCTTTGCAGCAGGTTGGCAGGAAGGTGAGAGTGATGCGGGAGAAGGGGACAACGGGAGCAGCAGCAGAGTTGGGGGAGGGGGGGCAGTAAGGGGGAGGCCACTTCACTAGCTTTGATAATGCACCAGTCAGTTGCACGGGCGGACGACAAGGGGGGAGGTTGGGGTAGGGGAGAGTCGGGCGAAGAATTTAGGGTAAACAAGGTGAGGGGAACATGCCACGCAATGGAAAGCAAAAGGCACTGAGACTATTTCAGTCTGGATGGGTTGTCATAGTAACCGTGGCCTCACAACACAGAGAGCAGGTAAATACATAGGAGCCTGGCTGGCCACTGATTAACATTTGTGCGATCACAATCACGTCTGTGTGTGCGTGTGGTAGAACGAGAGAATGAGAGAGAAGAAGAGTGTGTCAGAGAGCATGTGCGTGAGAAAGTGTGTGTGTGTGTGTGTGTGTGTGTGTGTGTGTGTTTGCGCACACAAACTCACTCAAAACACTTTCCACTGACTCTCTTTCATGGAACCAGAGCCAGCGAAGGGAGCTGAATGCATTAGCGGGGCGCCGACTCTGACGCACATTTGTTTATGTGTGTACACGAGTGTTTAAGATCACAATGTTTCATACTTTAGCTGCTCCTTCAAGGGCTAAACAAGGCTTTTAATGTGCACTCAGCCAGTGAGCGATGTCTGCCCCTCTACCCCTGTGCTCCCCTGCAACTTCTGTCCCCCCTACTTCCTTCCTTCCTTTCATTCTTCCTTCCTTCCTCGCGCCCTTTGTCTCATTCCATCTCTTCCTTCTCTCTCTTGTACTCTCTCTCTCTCTCTGAAGGACAGAGGTATTCCCACATTTCTCGGTCGCCATGGCAACGCTGCAGCAAGAAAGAAAGAGAGGCCGCAAGAGTAAGGGGGTGGTGGGGAGGTGGGGGTGGTTGGGTGGAGGGGTTCGGGTGCTGGGGGGGTGAGGCTGGGGATGTGTGAACAATGCTAATGCTACTTCACTGATCATCGATTGTGTGTTTTACCCTCCCCCCAACACCCAGCCCAAACCACTGACACCCCCCCCCCAACACACACACACACACACACCCACACACACACACACACACACACACACACACACACACACACACAGACACAAACATTTATTTCTCTCTTTACATTTGTATCGCTCTC